GGGGGGCCAGCTGTGGGGGGCGCCCAGAGAGCCCTGGCAATACTGTGCACCCGCTCCGGAGCAGGGACGGGGCGAAGGCGCCGCCCCGGGGAAGACCCGTGGGCTGGCACAACCCGTCGGCTCTGTCCTTCCCGGCTCAGCCGCACGGTGGGCGCTCGCTCCCACGAGAGCCACGGACAGGCCTCAGCGTGGCCGCCTGGGTGAGGTGGGCGATGAGGCCGGTCTTGGGAAGCTGCGGGCACCAGGATCTCGCCACCCGGCTGTGGGGCCACAGGGCCTCTCTCCCGCCCCAGGCCCAACCTCGTCCCTTCTGGGGGCAGCGAGGAGCTGGGGGAGCCCCGAGGGGGCTGGGGGGCAGGAAAGGCTCAGCATTGCTGCTCCTTCTGTCCACGAGGGGTGGGGTGGGGGGGCGGGAGGAGGCAGCCAGCGGCCGGGCAGTGCATCGGGGAGCATGCCCCCCCCCCGCACGACCCCAGCTTCAGCCCTCACCCTCTCCTTTCCTCAGTGGGGGCTGCCACGAAGGCTCAGGGCTAATGGTCCGGTGAAAGGTATTAAAGGCTCCAGGTTGGGGTCCGAGACGCCCAGCCCGGGCCTGGCCCTCGCGGGCAGGACCAACGCCGTGCCAGCCCTCTCCCCCCGAGGCCGTGTCTCTGGCGCCTGAGCTGGTGGACCTCGAACCCCTGGCCTCGCCTCCCCGCAGTCCTCGCGGCCGCCCCGTGACACGGCGCCCGCCCCTCTGCCCCGGCTGCCCGGCCGCCCCTCCTACAACCACGACGCGCGGGTGTGAGGACTCGCGGGAAACAGCTCGTCCTTAAAGACCAGCCAGCGCCCTCGGGCTGGGCCAGAACCGCCTGGGTCAGAACCGCCTGGGTCGGAACCGCCGCCCGGATTCCAGGCTCAGGGAGGGAAGCTGGGGTTCAGCACCGCGGACAGCGGCCGGCGGGGCAGGGACTGGGGGGCCACAGCCAGGCTGGACCAAGGCTGGGGGCCAGGGCTGGTCTGGAGGGGCCTGTGGACGCCACCCCTGCCTGTGTGTCCTCCCAGGGGACAGGGGCGGTCCCTCTCGGCGGTGCCTTCTCCACGTCTCCTCGCCAGCTCCCCGGACGAGGGGCCCCTGGGAGGAGGGGGCCGTTCTGGCCTTTGGGTCCCCAGGTGCCGTCCCCATCTTCCCTCGATTCCCGCTCACCCCGCACAGGGGCAGCGCCGTCCCCGCGCCCGGGTGGGGGACGGGGGGCCACGGCGTGAGCAGCTCACCCCCTGCACCCCACGCCAGCCGGCTCTCCCTCTTCAAAGAGGACCAAACCCTTACATCTGAGCAGCCCCGTTTCTGTCCCAGCAAACACGCTCGCTTCCTCCCCTCAAAGGGCGTCTGAGCCGGGGATTAGGCCTAATGCCGCCGGAATCCCGGGAGGCAGCGCCCAGCGCCGGGCCTGCCAGGCTTTCAAAGGGACACGCTGGCTTTCATCTCCCTGCCCGTGCGGCGGGCGCGGCCCCCTGCACAGAGCTCCTCGCTGCGGGGCCCGGGGATGGAGCCAGGACCCCCAAGCCTGGGGCCGGGTTGGCCTCCAGAGCTGACCGCTGGGGGGGGCGGGGGCTGGGGGGGGGGCCTGGACAGCTCCCTCCTCGTGGTCGCCAAGTCATAGAGGCCGAGGTGAACCTCAAAGGCCCGGCGAGGCCTGTCCGGATGCTCCTCCTCTCGGGGTGAAAGCTAAGACCCCCCCAGCCCAGCGGAGGCCCCTCCTGTTTCCTTAAGGAAAACCCTCCAGACCATGAACAAAGCCAGGGACACAGCCTCCACCCAGCGGTCAGCTGAGTGGCTTTGGGACCTGCTGTTCTGCCTCAACCCCACACCCCCTGACACCCCCCTGTCCCCAGGTGCCCTGAGGGGGAGGGGGAGGGCTGGCAGAGGGTCCTCACCATCCAGGACCAGAGAGGACCCCTGGGCTCTACTCAGCCCTGCGGCCCCCCCAGCAGCTGAGCAGTCATTGTCCTCAGAGCTGGCTTCCTCTGCCAGGAAGCCCTCCCGGATTAACACACAGGAAGAGTAAGTCCCTGGCTGACCCTGGTCTAGGAGAGCCTCCCCCGACTGCCTCCTTCCTAGCTGTCCGTCTCCTAAACCTGGAGCAACAAACGGGGGGCATCCTGGTTTGGGGTGCCGGCAGGAGCGCAGGCCCCTCACGCTGCCCGGAAGACACCCCTCCTCCCCCGTAACCACTGTGCAGAGCTGGGCGCCCCTCAGGTCCGGGCTCAGAGCCTGAACACACGCTTGATCACCTGCCTCTCCCAGGATCCCCTGCCCTGCCTCCCGGGCGCCCCGAGACTGGCCACCGAGCCCCTCACTGCGGGCCATCCTCCTTCCGACTCAGCCACAACCTGCCCCCGGGTGCCCACTCTACGATTCGATTCCGGTTCTGCTCCAGGAGCCAGGCTGACCCCATCTGACCCCTCCCCACCCCTGGGCCCCCCACCCAGAGGCAACTGTGACTTTGGACTCGATATGGGGAGCATCCCCAGGGGCCGGGGGCCGGGCTCAGACCCCAGGGCGGGGCCGCCCCTCCTCAGGCTCCTCGCGGGAAGCCGGGAGCCGTGCATTCCGGGGAAGTCACGGGGCTGTAATCACCGCGCACCTCGCAATTACCCGGGCCAGGCTGCAATTACCGCCTCGCCCTAATCGCCGAGTGTTTATTAGCGGTGCCCCCGCCCAGAGCTGCGATTACGGCACATTAATAACCAGGTAGGCACGGGGCTTCCTCCTGCACACGGACCACCCAGCGCCAGCGCCACCTCGCCGGGCCCGGCTCGGGCTCTGCCCACCTCTGGCCAAACACGTGAGCTGGAGGCGGGGGCAGCGGGCAGCGGGCAGGCACGTGCCCAGACCCACGTCACCCCCAGCTGTGCACTCGGATCTGAGCCCCTCGACCCTCGTGCAGGGAGCCTGCCCCTCCCACCTCCATCCTGTGCCAGAAATGCTCCGAGCTGAACCCCGAAATTCCTGGGGACGGCTTCTCACCCCCGAGGCTGCCCAACGCCGGACATCAGGAGAGATCCAGGCCCCCTCCCCCCCGCCTCATCGGGCGCACGGGGCAGTCCCCACGTGGCAAAAACTGGAGTCTGGCCCGGCAGGTGTGGCTCAGTGGTTAAGCATCGATCTAGGAACCAGGAGGTCGGGGTTCGATTCCTGGTCAGGGCACATGCCCGGGTTGTGGGCTCCATCCCCAGTGTGGGGCGTGCAGGAGGCAGCCGGTCCATGATTCTGTCTCATCATGGATGTTTCTCTCTCTCTCCCTCTCCCTTCCTCTCTGACATCAGTAGTCTGGGTGACCAGGGCGCACGGAGCAGGAGGGGGAGCAGGGGCCTGGGGAGGGCAGGACACCCCCCCCCACTCCGTGTGCGCAGGCGCCCTCACCTCGCTCTCCTCCTCGTTGTGCAGCCGCTCGGTGTAGGCGTCGGGCTTGCGGATCAGCGGGTCCACCAGCATCAGGAAGGCCATGTACAGCAGCAGGGCGCCCACCACCGACAGGTAGATGACGATGATCACCTGGAGGACAGCCGCCCTGTGACCAGCTGGCCTCGGCCCGGAGACGCAGGGCCCCACGGACACCCACGGACACCATCCGTCCTCCCTCCCACAGCCAGAGAGACAAGAAACGGTGGAACGTGTGGATCCGTGGGGACCGGGTCCGCTCAGGGTGGAAAGCTGCCCACACTACGCAGGGGGAGGGGCTGGGCTCGGAGGCCGAGGAGGAGGATGGACCCGGGGCTCCCCCCACCCCCCACCGCTGGGAGCAGGACGGCTGAGAGGGAAGCTTCAGATCTGGGGACGCAGCGCCCAGTGCGGGACGGGCACCCCGCAGGGAGCGGCGGACAGCCGGGGTCAGGATGGCGACCGTCATCTCCTGCTGGAGGGAGAGCCTCCCAGCTGGAGTGGGGTTTGTTCTACAGAAAAGCCAGCTTCAGCCCGGCCTGCGTGGCTCAGGGGTTGAGCGTGGACCTAGGAACCAGGAGGTCAGGGTTCGATTCCCGGTCAGGGCCCGTGCTGGGGGTTGTGGCTCCATCCCCAGTGTGGGGCGTGCAGGAGGCAGCCGATCCATGATTCTCTCTCATCGTGGATGTTTCTCTCTCCCTTCCCCTCTCCCTCTGAAATCAATAAAGATATTTATCAATCAATAAAGAAATCCATCGATAAAGAAATACTGGACCAGGAAATCGGTACGCAGGGCCTGGCTCGAGACAGTCGGCACCCGGACTAGGGGGCCACGGAGGCTCTGGGGCAGGAGTCCTGCTGGTGGCAGAGGAAGGGACAGGCCCTGGTCCTCACTCCCTGTCCTGAGTCCACCCAGGGAGGTACCAGCACGAGGGTCAGGGGCGCCCCGAGAAGGCCAGCCCGGCGTTCCCTCCATCAGACGGCGAGCTCTGACCTGCCTGTGAGCAGCACCCGGCAGGGCACAGCCTCAGAGGCAGGGGAGGATGCTGACTGATGGCTGGAAGGAGAGAGAGGAAGACAAGAACCGGGGGAAACCGGGCGTCTCCCAGGCTCTCACCCCCAGTGTCAGGGGAGCCCCAGGTCAGAGGTCGCAGGACGGCTGGCTCCAAGGGGCGGGGAGTGGGTCCCGGTGTCTGGGACAGGCCTGCCCAGAAGCCAGTCCCACAGCCGCCTGGAACGTTCCGGAATGAATGAAGCCCAAGCCTGCGGGTCTGGGCGGCCAGGGCCTGGGGCGGGGGCCGCGGCGCGAGCGGTCACCTTAATGGTGGTGGTGCTGCGCTCCTCGTACTGGCACTCGCACAGCAGGCAGTAGGCCTCCACGTCGTGCCCGGGCACCGGCATGGGCTCCACCACGTGCAGGCAGTTGCTGAAAGAGACACGCACAGCCGTGGGCGTGGGCGCCGCGGAACCCGGCCCCGGCGGCCGTCCGGTGTGGGCTGGCGTCCATCGGCTTCTTCCCCGGTGCCCTTTGAGCTGCGACCACACCAGACGAGGTCCCGGGCCCGCCCCCAGGACTGCAGGTCTCAGGCCTTCGTGAACCAAAAAGAATCTTTGGGGGGATCTGATGGACAGCATGGTGACTGTGTTAACAAGTGGATTGTACCCTCGAAAGGTGCCGAGCCCGGCCGGCAGGGAGAGCGTCGACCCGGGAACAGGAAGGTCAGGGTTCGAATCCCGGTCAGGGCACAAGCCCGAGTTGCGGGCTCCATCCCCAGTGTGGGGCATGCAGGAGGCAGCCGGTCCATGATTCCCTCTCATCATTGATGTTTCTCTCTCTCTCTCCCTCTCCCTCCCTCTCTAAAATAAATAAATAAATAAATAAATATATATATATATATATAGTGGGGCCTTGACTTAAGAGTTTAATTCGTTCCGTGACGGAGCTCGTAACTCAAATTACTCGTATGTCAAATCAAAAAGTGAACGAGTGAGACACGTGATGCTGGGCTGATGTTGTGGCGTTCACTGTGACGTGCGCTGCGCCAGCTAGCGGTGGGGTCTCTGAAGCTGGCTCGTCACCCGAATTTTAGCTCGCAACTCAAAGCAAAATATTGGCCGAGAGACGGCTCGTATCTCGAAAAACTCATTAGTCGGGACACTCGTAAGTCAAGGCCCCACTGTATATATATATATATATTTTAAAAGTTACGAGAGATTTTAAATGTTCTCGCCACACACACACACACACACACACACACACACACACACACACTTGGTAACTGCGTGAGGGCCTGGAGGTGTTCACTAGCCCTGTATACACGTATCAAATCGCCGCTGTGCGTGCATCTCGAGCTCACACAAAGCTGCATGTGGCTCACACCTCCATAAAGCCGGGGGTGGGGGGGAGCAAACAGCAAAACACCAACCCCCAAACGGCGGGGGGGCAGGAGGTGCAGGGAACCCCCCTGACCGTCCCCACTCCACAACCCAAAGGACAGGCAACACTGGACCCGGACCCCCCGTGGGGGTGTGAGTCCCCCCCTTCTGTGCTCGGGCTTCCCTCCCGGGACTGGGCAAGGGACGGGGCGCCCCAGTTCCCCGAGAACCCCCGCAGTAGAAACGCTCCCTCCACCCACACGGACACCCCGGGCCCCCAACCCTACCTCAGCCCACCCTGAGCGTCACGGATCCCCCCGGGGCGGCCAAGCACGCAGCCTTACCAGTCCTTCTGCGACACGTTCTGCTTGTAGATGTGCCCGCTGATGTTTCTGTACGGCGGGCAGATGCATTTGCACCGGATGTCCTCGGAGCTCTGCCGGAGGAGGGGAGCAGGCGTCAGGGGGGCCCTGGGCCCAGGGTCTAGCAAGACTCCAACTCTCAGCTCCCTGCTCCCTCCAGGAGGCGGCCACTGCGGGGGATGGGGTGTCCACCAACCCCACCCCCAAGGTCAGCAAAGAGTGACCTCTGCAGGGACAGAGAGCTGCCTAGGGCTGCCCTCCCCAGGAGGACGCTGAAGGATCGGGGCGTCGGTAACCTGTCCAGTCTCCCTGGCCGCTGGCCTCTTCGCCCCTTTAGCTCCAACGTTCCGGGCGAAGGCCGGGGAGAGGATCGGGGTGAGCGGGACAGAGTGGGTGGCTTCCATGGGGTTACTCAAGCTGCCCCTCTGAAGCCGTAAGGGACGAGGCCACGAGTATTCTCACCCCAGTTAGGGATTCCCCAGGGGCAGGAGAAGCAACCAGAGTGACCCCAAACCTGGGTTAAATTCCTGACGTAATTGCCGTCCGGTCTTTCCCAGAAACATCTCAATCAACCAATCAGGGGTTATCAAAGCTTCCCTGATGGTCAGAACCTCAACCTGCACAGACCTAAGGTCGGGGTTATTTACCCCCAAAGAATGGAGGGGACCTCAGGAGGCCCAGCCCGCGGGTTGGGGGACCCTCCCCATGCAGGAACTTCCACCTGGGGCCCCGGCCGGTTTGGCTCAGTGGACAGAGCGGCGGCCCACAGACTGAGGGTCCCGGGTTCGATTCTGGTCAAGGGCACACAGGCATCGCTCGGTGGCAGGGCCTCTGTGGGAGGCAACCAATCGATGTCTCTCTCTCTCTCTCCCTCTCCCCTCCACTCTCTCTGTAAATAATGGAAAAATATCCTCGGGGAGGATTAAAAAAACACACAAAAATCTCCATCTGGAGCATCTGACCACCAGAGGGCGCTGCTACAGTTACTAGAACCACCAGGTGACCCAGGAGCCAAAG